TTCTTTTAGCTCTCACTTTCCATCTTCCCATTACTACATCAGCACTTCAAAATTCCAACCCTTACTTACTTCAGCTTCTAAAAACTTCAGCTAACTTACTCCAGTTCTATCTTTGAAAGCTCAGCAAAGAGTCCGAGCATCTTTGGCTCAATCTCCTTCGCCATGACTCTGAAGGCGGCAAGCAAGTCGTCTGCATTTGAGAAGTACTGCTTAGGGTCGTCTCGGAGGAGGGAAGAAAACTCTTGGACTGGAATGTTGTATCCCAGTGCCTTGACCACCTGCGGAAGGGGAGATAGAGAGAAGGGGTGATAAAAGGGGAGAAAGGAAGAGAAGAGTGGCAATAAAGGAGGAGATAATATAAGAGAAGAGTAAAGAGAGAAAGATAAAAATAATATAATGAGAAATAAATGCTAGGAGTAGAGAGAGAGAAAAAAATGAAAGATATAACAGAAAAGAAATGATACAAGAGAAGAGGAAAAGGGCAATAAAGAGAGAGGTGACATAACAGGAAAGAAATTATAGGGGAAGAGAAGAGAACAGGGGAGACAAATGGTGGGAGAGGAAGAGAGAAATGAAAATGGGCAGTAATCCGATGACTACAGATTAATGTACCGTTCCCTGTAGTTTTTTGTAAATTTTGTGACATACAGATGGCTCCATATGTCCGCAGCCAGCAAAGAGTCTATCATTGCTATCAGTGCTGCTATTATTCTTATTTATATCAAGATTATTCAATTGTTATTAAAATCTTGGTAACATTAAAAACAATAATACAAAAGAAACTTTCCAAAAATCAAGAAAAAGGGTGAAATAGGTATGACTACTACGTGACTCCTTAGTGACTAAGCACTTGTAAAGCCATCTATGTGTAAATACAATAAATGAACTTGTATTAACCCATTTGCCCCATGTGGCAAGAATACATGCCTTGCCCACTGTAACACACTTTTTTTATTGTATTTACACATAGATGGCTCTATAAGTTCATAATCACCAAATAGCCAGTTATCAGAACTACCTATCTCACCTGTTAATTTTCCTACACTTTAGATAAAGTCTAAAGGGTAATAATCATAACATCAATATTAATAATAACAGTATTGATAGCAATGGTATTAATAAGAAAAATACATTTTCCCGCATATTCAAGGAATGAGAAAATCAGGATCGGGAACTAGGGCCTACTGATAGACTCCTTGCCGTCTGAGCACATGTGGAGCCATCTGTTGGTAACAAAATTCACCAAAAACTACAAGGGACAGAACATAAATCCAGGGCAAATGGGTTAAAGTGGGCATGGCATGTATTTTCACCATCTGTGCCAATTAGGTTAAAGAGGAAGAGAGAGAAAAAATAAATAAACAAATAAAAAAAAGGGTAACAAAAGAAAATCAAAATGACACATAAAGAGGGAGTGCAAGAAAAAAAAAAAAAAAAATAAATGGCTTTGCAAGGAGTTACCCACAAAGGAGTAAATTAATAGACCTTGTGACCTCAACTGATTTCATGTTCCCTTGAGTTTGTGGGAAAAAACACTTTTTTAAATAGTGCTATCAGTACTGATGCTGTTATCTTTATTATAGACATTATAATTATTATAATGTTATTGGCATTACTAACAGCAATATTAGATACCAGAAACTATATTTGAAAATCAAGAGAAAGGGTAAAAAGGTGAGACAGGTAGTGTGAGTAATTGGCTCATTGGTGACTTAGTACTTGTGGAACCATCTATGTGTAAAAAACAATTAACAAATTAGATTCACTGTGAACATACAGTATCATGGTAGAAAAACCCACAATGTAAAAACTAGATTTATTGAAAAAGAAAGTGAGACGACAGTTTCGGAATCCACCTGGATTCCATTCTCAGGTCAGGTGGATTCCGAAACTGTCGTCTCACTTTCTTTTTCAATAAATCTAGTTTTTACATTGTGGGTTTTTCTACCATAGTATCAACATGGTAGAGTGTTTTCCTCATTCATACAGTATCATGTACATATAAGCTATCCCTGAAGGCTTTAGGTTAAATCTGCTAATCGTATTATAAAATATAAAATACGATACCAGAGGGAAATGACTGCTCACCTCTTCCATTTTGCCTTCAATGCGTTCTACTTCACTCAGTCCAATTTGATGGATTTCCTTGGCACTGTAATCTGTTAAAGTGTGGAATCTGTGGAGTAGAACAATATTGGAATAGATTAAAAGAGAAGTGAAAGATTACAAAGAACACCAGATAGTGCAAAGAAGGTGAAGGGGGGGGGGGGGAGAGAGAGAGAGAGAGAGAGAGAGAGAGAGAGAGAGAGAGAGAGAGAGAGAGAGAGAGAGAGAGAGAGAGAGAGAGAGAGAGAGAGAGAGAACAGACAGACAGAGACAAGAAAGAGAGAGAGAGAGAGAGAGAGAGAGAGAGAGAGAGAGAGAGAGAGAGAGAGAGAGAGAGAGACAGATTCCTAATGTGAGTACACACATCACTTTCAAGCTAAACTATTTGCCTTTC